TGAACGCTATCGAAAAAGTGGTCACAATCAGGTAATTCCAACTTTTTAGGACATCACTTTGGAAAATAACTATTCCCTATTAACTGTTTAAAAAAGTTCAACCTACCTATTAAGAACAAAAGAGTTTATTTGATATACTTGACTATATTATTTAGCAAAACATTATGCTAACCTGACAAATATAGTTCATATTATTTACTGCTAAAAAGCAAATGTGGATGAAACAAAACTCTGGAACATATAATCCACAACAAGCAAACTTACACAGAGAAGGTGTCCATAAATTAGTTCATATCAAAGAATCTAATTTCAGGTTGAGTTTCTAAGGAAAAGAGTCCTTTGTCAAGTGCTAAATTAAAAAAAAAATTTTTCGGGCAAAGAGTTGGAATGAATATTTTATATTTAATCACTTTTCAAAACCTATTTTAAATGTCATGGTAGTACTTAAAATAAAATGTTCTAACATTAAGTATATAAAAAAACTAGAATAATCACCACAGCTAACATGTTATCTACAGAAATATTCACTCCTACAATAATAAATACAGAAAAAGATGATCAAGTGATAAAGTTAACAGATGTTCATTTTAATTTAAATGAAAGTATTTTTTCATTTAAAATACACCTGAAGACTTCAGAGGTGGAAAAAAATGTAAGAAAGAAAATGAACAAACACCTTCCACATGTCTAGTCTGTCTTCAACATAGCTGAATTAAGAGACTGCTTTCACCTGTGGTCCATGTGAAAAAACTGCTTTATCACAGCACTGAAGAGCACCTTTATAACAACAGATATTCTACAAAGATTTAGCACATTGCCTTACATTAAGCTGTCATGTTTAACCAAGCAGACTACTGGAAGGCATTACTTTCAAACAAAGGTTTTACTTTGGCTCACCTGAATCTAAAAGTTACAAATTATTACCATCTATGGGAATTTTCGTTATGATGGCACATCAGTGAATAATCTCTGTGTGTGGAAAGACCTGGTGATCAAGTGACCAGCGGCAATTCTGAATACTTGGAAGAGCAGTCTAGCAAAGCACCCTTACACAAACTAAAACCGTTTGAGGTCAGAGTCACAACTGCACGAGCCATGCACTTTTAATCCTTTACACCTGGAAGTTAAATCTTAAAAAGGGGAATGAGGTAGCTGACTAATCCATCCTGGAGGAAATCTTACATAACAAGAGCCTCTGAAACACCTGATATTCCTATCAGTTAGAAGGAAGTCTCTAGAAAAGTCATTCTGTCCAAGACTCATGCATGTAACACACACACTTTCGAAACAATGAAATGTATTTGGTTTGCGGGGCGGGGGGGACTAGGAAAACAGAGTTGTAGAACATGGAAAAAGACTTCTTTGCAGACGTGAAAAACATTACTTTAAGAACTAATACAACATATGTTGGAAATTTCAGTATACTTGCTCCTGTAATACTCCTCTTTCCCCACCAAAGTCAACATTGTTCTTGATGTTTTATAATAACTAAGACAAAAGAGAAAAAAAGTGGGGTAACAAAAAAAAAAAAAAAATTTACTCAAATTATTTTAGCATTGTTTTCCAATACAAATGCATATCCATTTACTGTCCTGTTCCAGCTAAATGTCTCTAGCAAAATTTCCATTGTTTTTGACTCAACTGACCTGTCAATTTCATCAGCCAACCCCGGGTGAGACTTTTTCATTCACTTGGTCTGTGACCTGACTGGACTGGTTGTGTCAGCACCCCCTACACACATCTGGTTAATACCACAGATGGTTTCCAATGAACATTTTTAGATTATCCATTCACCTAACCCCACCTCTCTTTACAGTCCAGAAATCCTAATGTCACCTGTCCAACCAACCTCCGTTAGACGAACAATGGAGAATTAACGGATTACTGGTAAACCAAAATTTTTCTGAGAAATGATAACGGTTTCACTAAAATTATAAATATTCGACTCTTGCAAAAGCTACAGAATATACACCTTTGGCTGACAGGTACAATTTATAGGAAAATTTTTTCTAAAAGACCTAAAAATGACCCTTTTTACTCACTATGCATTGTGACTTTGATTAACTGTATCACATTATCAACTTTGATTTACAAAACCAAGTGCAAGTTTGCACAACTATACCAAGTTAGGTAATGTCCCCATGTTTTTCCTGGGACCTCAAAATGTGACCTTATTTGCAAACGTAGTTAAGATGAGGTCATAATGAAGCAGGGTGGGCCCCTAATCCACTATGACTGGTGTCCTTGTAAGAAGAGACAGACACCCACAGAGGGAAGACGACTATATGAAGATGGAAACAGAGAGAGGAGTGATGCTGCAAACCAAGGAACACCCGAGGCTACCAGAAGCTGGAAGAGGCCAGGAAGGATTCTCCCCTAGAGGCATCGGAGGGAGGATGGCCTAGTCAACATCTTGATTTAGGACTTCTAGCCTCCAGAACTGTGAGAAATCGAATTTTTGCTGTTTTAAGTCACCCAGTTTGTTGTACTTTGTTACTGCAGCCTGAGCAAACTAATACAACAGGTTCTTAGCTCTTCATCTTCTGCCACAACACAAAACAGGAAGATGTTAAGGAAAAAAACTACTTTCTTCCAATCAGCAATAATAAAACAAACCACTTTGTACACCTGAGATAAAACAACCCATACTGGGTTTCTCACCTTTTATTGCATTGTGGCAGAATCCCTTGTATTCTCTTCCATTCTATCAATAACCAAGGTGAGTACTCAAGTATGTTTATTAAAAAAAAACTGTCATTGTCTCCATGAAGCACTATTTGGATTACCAAAAAAAAAAAAGAAAAAAAAAAATGACAAGGTATGTTTTTTACTTTTCTCCCAATAGTCTCCACCTAAAAATGCTGTTAAAAGAGATGTAGTTATAAAGATTTGGGACATCTGGGTCTCAATGTTAATACCAAACTAACTACATAAGTCATAACTTTTTTGGATTTCATTTTACTCTTCTGTAAATGTAAGGGAATTGGAGCAGATGATCTCAGAGGATCCCTCCAAGGTCTAAAATCCTTAAAAATCTAGTAGAGGAAAGTCAGGTAAAGTTTAAGCAATTTGGACTTGCTGGAGGTCATGGTAGGAATAGGCCAGGATGTTGTCCAGGTCTCCCAACTCCTAGCACAGTGCTCTTTTTACAAAACCAATCACTTTTATGTCAGTGCTGAAACCAAAGCCAGACAAATTCAAAAGAAATGTCATAGCATCCAAGGTGCTACTTCAGCCCAAAGTGCCTCTTTTATCTTACAATGTTTTTTCAGTTTTCTTTAAAATGTAAGCAACATTATATTTTATTTCAAAAAAGAAATAACTGTTCCTTTTTGGAAACACTATTTACTTTCCCCAATAACAAAGGCATAATATAACTGATCTCAGCTTTACCTTGGAAAAATCAAGAGATTTTAATCTATCTCTTACCAATATAGATATTTTCTTCTTTCTTGCCTTCAAAATTCTATTCAATTTGGTTCTGAAGTGGGCTCCTACTTCTTAATTCACCCTGAAAGACTCCTAAAATGCCATATGGCCAAGCAGAATAAACATATGGTGCCAGAAGCAATTCTAGCACTGACTTCAGAACTGTTTTGTGGTGTGACCTCAGCAAGATCATTCTACCTCCTTCAAGTTTCAACTACCTCACCCATATCCAAAGAAAGTTATAACTATTAAGTTCAGGGATGAAAAGTTTTAGATTTAAAGTATTAAAAATTTAATGATGATGGGCACTGTTTGCATGCCATGGTAGTCTCAAATATCTCTTTTCTTACCTCTAAAAATGGGGCTACATCAAAAAAATTTATATTCCACTGCTACTGGGTAGTTTTTTTTTTTTTTTTTTGGTACCACACTGAATAATGCCACTTCCTCCCTGGTATCTTCCCATAACATTTTTACCCGAGAGACAAGGAGTATATTTTAAAATTAAACAGTCTTTAAACCCAAACACAACTATCTTTTCACTCCATCACTTTTCTGTTATCATCCTCTGAAGAACTTAACTTTTGTCAATAAGTCTCCTAAAGTGTTACATTTTCTGTGAAATGAAAGAAACAAAATGCTGCATTACCTAGTGGTAGTAATCAGTACTTCTAATACTTGTAAAAACAATTTCAATTTGCTGTTTACTAGACATTATGACATCATTGCTTTCTAGTGTTTGCTCTCCCATTAAATAATCCTGTTTCTATTTTGTTCCCTTGCCTTCAAAACGTAGACTGCTAATGTTCCATTGTTCTCGTTCACCATTTAAAATGCTGGATTAAAGAATCAGTGAACAACCTTAAAAATGCCCATCTGTACATTTCATGCTCGGAAAATACACGTTCTCCTACTGCAACTGATCTGGAGAGATCAATCTCTTGGCAAAGGTAAGATCTGGAAAAAACGTCAAAGAGCAAAACTAAGCCTCAATGAGGGGAAGGGCCACAGTCAATAGACAACCCTAAATCCATACGACAGATTCTAGGACTTCCATCAAATAAAGGCATTTGTTTGGTCGATCTCCTCACAACGCCTCATGTGCTTCAACCAACATGAGGTATTTGTACGGAAGCCTAAAGTGTTCATTACCTTGAAAACGGGGCCCAAGTGCTGAATTTTTCTAAAGGCTCCCATTGCAAGTGAACACCCAAAAAACTAGTGGAGAGAGCGATGGGGAAAGGAGTGGGGCCGATCTTCGATACCTTCCTCCCACTTCACCAAAGGAGAATTTTTTAAAAAACTACTAACCCACACATACCAAATTAGCTCCTCCGCTGCTCATAATACCGTTTTCAGGGGCAGAAGAAAGAAGGGGTCGTGGGGGCTGGGCTTCAGGTTGCGAGAGGAGAGTGAGAGCGAGAGTAGCGGTAGAGAAGTCAAATTCACATACGAGGCCGCTGGGAGGATGGAGGACACGCGGAGGGAAGGCGGCGCGCCGCTGAATGGAGTGGGCGCCGGGCTGGGGGCGAGCGCCCGAACGGCCGGGTGAGGACGAGGACCCTTCTCACCTGGCAGCCCTTCTTGTGGTGAAAGCCGACCACCACGATGTGCAGTACGGGCCCCCGGGGGGCGCCATCGCCGTCCCTCCCGGCCTTCTCCATGGGCGGCTGCCGCAGGCCTGCACAGCGGGGACTTCACCCGCCAGGGGCGGCGGGCCGGACAGCCCCGCGGTCCCCAGGAGGACGGAGAGCCGGCGCACTCGCGATGTCAGCGAGCGCGCTTCATGAGGGCCGCGCAGGAAGCCCGGAGGCAGCAGACGAGCTCGCGCAACACCGCGCCGCTGCCCGGGGCCGCGACCGTTCTTGCTTCATCCGCTTCCGTAGCTTCCGGGCTGTCACCTGACGCGGCGAGACGGGGCGGGGCAGGACCTGACGGGGCGGGGCCCGGAGGAGCGGGCGGGGCACACCCGGGGGGCGGTACCGGGGCGGGGCTGGAGGGGGTGGCCGGGCTTCCGGCCTTACCCACCTGGTTGTTGCGCGGTACGGTCTCAAGTCTCCCTCGTCCTTCGCTGTTCTTAAGTTTCTGCCTCTTTTCTTTCTTCAGCTTACCTTTTAAACATCTTTTCTGTAAACTCTGATTGTCGGATTTCTTCACTTCTTACGGTCCTCTCAGAGGTTATCTACGGAAAATAGTGCCTATGCAAGCACTGAAATTGTAACCCCGTTAGTGAGGGTAAGGAGGGGCAATTCCTAAACTCCACCCCCGCGCATTTCAAGATGACTAAACGTTGATAGCGGCCTTGGAAATGCTTTTCCCTCTTGTCCCCCTTTTGTCAGGCTGCCTCAGTCATATTTGTGCCGCCCCGGAATGTTGTTCCGCGCCTTGCCTGACACCCCCTTGGACTTGCGTCT